TAATTTAAAGTCAATTTAGTTTTCAAGCATTTCTGTAATTATTACTGTAATACTGTATTATATATATGAAAATTTGATTCACCATTTGTTTACAAATCAAGTGGAATTATTATAAAATTAATTTTTGGCACTGAAATTCAATATATAATTAAAAGCTAATTAAAATTGCAAGTTTTAATTTTTCTATTAAATTCGCTTTAATTATATAATTTGTATTTTGCATTCAATATGTTTGTCGCACTCTCGGACACGTATTTGAGAAATTTAAATTTCTTGTTTTTAAGTGACTTAAAATTAATGATTAGATTATAAATTAGATGAATATTACGATAAGTGAATGCATTAATAAAATGAAAACAAAATCTACAACAAAAAATAATTATGTATTAAAAGCGAGATGATAAGTACATATTTACACATATGTTTAACTTTAATTTAACTTAAAATTACAAGTTACAAAAATGAAATAGTTTTACAAGTTTTACGTCGTTTTCGACTAAAAGCGAAATTAATATTTTCAATATTCATGTGTCCGTTAAGAGAGAGAATATTTGAACCCTTTTTGAAGCATAAGCTTTACAAATGAGTGCTTATTATGATCGGGGCTTACAGTGAGGTGAATGTGGCCTAAGGTGTCTCGATTAATGACGACACGATTGTATTTTACAATTTATTATAATAAGACAGGAATGTTATGGACCTCTCATTAGTAGTTTGAAGCAAAAAACGTTTAAAGAGCTCAGCCTATAATGGCTACCGAAGAATATATTAATATGTCTCCTAAATTATGCTTTTCAAAGCCCGGTGCTATAACATTATATTACATGCTAGTTTTTTATATGAGACTGAATTTTCAGCTCAATTCTCGAATATAAGGATAAAACTAATAAATAATTTGTTGAGCAGAAGAAGCAACAAAAAATGTTTTAACTTTTAATTTACTTTATTTTTGCTTCATTTTTACATTTCTCGTCGCTTTAAATAACATTAATTGCTTTATAACTCCGAGAAAATTCCTTTAAAATTTACTTTTACTTGACTTCAAGGGGTAGCCAAACACTCACTCACTTTCTACTCGCTGACTGTGAGGCAAATACCAATTTTCGCCGAAAACTTGTCATTTTAAGTCTATGTCTTAAAATACCAATCAATGTATTGGAGAGTCATTCACACGAATGCCGCACTTATTTAATATGAATTTTTCTTAGTCTCCCTTTTCGGACAACTTTTTTTGCTAAGTCTAAGAAATGTTTGAAGTTTTATGAGAGGTTTTATAACATTTTTGTTTTCTGCGCGACTTCTGTCCCCTTCGCTCATGTTTTTATCAATTTTTAAACTTTTTTTATGTTGCTTTTGAAGTAAAAAGATAAATAAAATTAATTTTTATCATTAAATCGATTAAACAATTTATGTCTTTTTTACATTTGTTACATAAATTTGGACAATAATTTAGATTAAAAGTATAATTTATTAGCTGAATTAGGGAAACATGTAAAGTAGATGTGATAGTAGATTAATTGACCTAAAATTAGATTCAAAAATTTTAAAATTCAATTTTATAGTAGTTTCCATAAATTTATTCCGAGATTTTCCTTAACATAACTAATATTTCCTTTTTATTGGCATATTTTTTGACTTAAAAGTTTTATTTGAAATAATATTTAAAATCAATTTGCATAAAAAGTAATGAGAAAACATATTTATTTAATGGATGTAGGATTTCTATATGTATTGGTTTGGTATTTGTTATAACGCCGAAACTGGCAGTTATTTTGCAGACAAATCATTGAAAAGTGATTAAAAAATGTGCGAAATGAATGTCTTGTGTAGAAGTGGCTCTTAAGGCATAATTTATAATAAATGAGATTTTGTTTTTGTTGGCTCCGAGTGCTTACAAGTGAGAGAGCGTCAGGCAGTCATCGAAATGAGTGCTGCCTTTCCTACCATTCCTTTGGCGAAACACGAAAAGCCAGCTAAAGGTCTGAAGCCATAGCCAAAGCCAAAGCCCCCTCCAATCCATACACCGATACACCAAACGCTGGTCTGGTATTGAATTTGAGTTCAATTTATTGCTTCTTATGTCACATAATGTAATGTAATTAAGAAAAACACAACTCATGTGTTCAATACATGAAAGATGAGAGACTCACGATTTGCACAAAAAATGCAAACCAAATGCAATTGCAGAGCATCCACTCTACACGTTATTACAGTATAGTGTGTTAGGGCTGGCATGTGAAAGGTGAGAGAGAGGCCACATTCCCCCAAATTCCTCCTGTATTTTGCACTACGGATCACTTACTTACTAATAAAAATGAAAAATCAAACCAAATTCAATGCAATATCTGCTAAAAAGTTACATTTCGTGATCAATCTTCGAGTAAAGGTTTACTCTGTTTTTATCAGTCTTTACGGGAGAACCGGATTTAATCTTTTCTGCCGACTCTCGGACTGCAAACGAAAGTCAAATCTTCTCCTCTTTTGGTAAACACTAAACACACGTATATTTGATTTGTAATAAGGAATACATATAACGAATATCAGGAATTTCTCAGAAAACCTTTTGATAGCAAGTCATTAGCCCAATGGCATTGAGAGAGAGACCAGAGAGAGACCAGTCGGTGAGCCAGAGAGAGGGACTCCAGAGAGCACTAAGAGAGGCACTGGAGAGAGCACGGAGAGAGCACTGGGAGCCAGCGTTCAGAGAGCAGTGCAGAGTCAAGACAGAGCCTATGCTATGCTATGTAAAGCCTATGCTATGCTATGTAAAGCCAGTGCCAGAGCCCGGGCATAAATGCAAGAATAGCTGGCACTGGAAGCCAATGGCAAGCAATCACACCTGCACTCTATCTGACATTCCCTGCGAAGTTAATCCCTCAATAAATACCTGTAGATGTCTTACGTTCAAAGTTTTGCAAACTTCTTAAATGCTGTAAATGTTTGTTATCAACGGCTCGTCCCAAACGACTCTTTATTTCGAAAAATTATATTATATCTCAAAACTCGAGTTACTGTAGAGTTAGTTGCACTCCAATTGCAGATTAGGTTTTGCTCTTTATTTGCGTTGATTTTTGTCACAAAAGAAAAGCAAAGTTTGCATAAAGTTTTCGTTGTGCGCCTAAACCAGAGAATAAACAACAAACTGATTGGAAAAACTGTTTTTCTTCGAAAAATTAATTTCATTTGAGAACTACTCGTAAATGAGCTAAAAGTCCAGATTTTTTTCTTTCATACACTGCATGCGTGACTCAAATGAGATCTTCATTTAATTGATTGGTTTATTAAAAAAGCAAAAAGTATTAAAAGACGTTTCGAGAGAGACATTGAATATATATTGTGGTTGAGTTGGTCCTCAAGTGACAAACATTGAGTTGATTTCTTGTGAGAGACTGGGAGAGCGAGTGGAGAGCTGAGCGCTTCCCAGACTATGGCATGTAATCCATGTTTTGCAGGTTGTGCTCAGAGTTAGCGTTCAGTTGTGTGTTTTGTGCCCATAAGAGATCTGATATCTATTGAGTAAGTGACTGGTATTGGCTGTTAAGATGTTGTGCCAATTGCACTGGTAGTGCAAACAGGTTGCGCTACCATTTTGGGGGATTTGTGTGCCGATTGTTGCTTTGTGTCTCAGCACAGACTCTCGCAGTATTCAGTGTTCAGTATTACTCTCCACCACCAAAAGCAAGTGAAGTTTTGCTGCAGTTTTGTGGAGTTTTGGGTTTGAGTTTGAGGCCAAAGTTCTCTTTGCTTTACCATTAAGTGCCAAACAGTGTGTCTCCAGAAAGCAATTGGAAATAATGGTCACAACTCCAAGACATACTACCACTCACGATGAGACCCAGGATTAATTTCACCACATTTGTGATCACTTGCGTTATATTCATACCATTAATACCTGTTAACTGTATTCTCGTCAGAAGTGGATCGCAGAAAGATATTCACATCAAAAAAGGCAAAAGTTTGTGTCATTTCTTTGCTATATATTCCCACTTCCACTCCACTTATCGCTATATATGCCATCATATGCTTTAATTTGCTATATATTTGGCAATTTGTATATTTGGATTTAATTTGTATATTTATTTAGTCGATTCGCATAAATGCAAACCAAATGCCAAATAAGTTTTGTTTCACAACTTTTTCTATAAGTATTTCACTGTTTTCAATGCAAATATTCAGTCATTTTATTGGTATTCACGAAATATTTGGACCCAAAATAACTTTATTTTCAAACATTTGCTTTCAATACCTGTCATTAAACGCGAGTTTGTATTAAAAAGATTTATAAGACGTATAAAGATTGCACTCCCAGTGCCACTACCACTGCCACTACCAGTGCCCTTAAATGTCAAATCAGTGCAAATCAATGCTATGCTGAGGAGGACAGGCGCCTAAATAGCGCGTCAATACCTCACTACCTGAGCGCATAACTTATGGGACATTAAATTTCATTCACTTCTGTCTGTATAGTATGCATCGGAACCAATGGTCGCATGTCTGTGCCCTCCAACCGGGAGCACCACTTCCAGAACTTGAGGGACAGGTACACGAACTGCACGTACGTGGACGGCAACCTGGAGCTGACATGGCTTCAGGACAAGAATCTTGACCTCAGTTTCTTGCAATACATTCGCGAAGTGACGGGTTATGTACTCATCTCTCATGTGGACGTCAAACGGATAGTACTCCCGAGCCTTCAGATCATCAGAGGTCGCACTCTATTCAAACTCAATGTCCGCGACGAGGAGTTCGCTTTAATGGTAACCCTCAGCAAAATGGAAAACCTGGAAACGCCCGCTCTTAGAGGTAGGCATACATTGCACGACACACTTGTGGTTCATATTTATACAGTGACCACATATTTTATATGATTAACGCGATGATTACCATCGATTGTCTTGTGTGTCCACCAGATATACTGTCTGGATCCGTTGGATTCTTCAATAACTACAATCTGTGTCACATCCGGACCGTGAACTGGGATGAGATCCTAACGGGTTCTAAGGCTAAGACCATATATGTATATAACTTCACTCAACCAGAACGCGAATGTATGCCATTTGATCGACTATTTGCGAGTGACTATCATTTGATTTAATCCATGAAATGAATGGCTGTTTAGGTCCGCCATGTCATGACTCGTGCGAAGAGGGCTGTTGGGGCGAGGGTTCGCACAACTGCCAGAAGTTCTCGAAGATTAACTGTTCCCCTCAGTGCCATCAGGGAAGATGTTTCGGACCCAACCCTAGGGAGTGTTGTCATCTGTTTTGCGCGGGCGGTTGCACTGGTCCTAAACAGAGTGATTGTCTCGTATGTGTTATATATATCTATGACATGTTTGGTCTAAATAAACACAAATCTAACTGTTGTTTTGTTTGACTGGTAGGCCTGTCGTAACTTCTATGATGACGGTGTCTGCAAACAAGAGTGCCCTCCGATGATGCGCTACAACCCGTCCACCTATTCCTGGGAAAGCAATCCCGAAGGAAAGTACGCCTACGGGGCCACGTGTGTCAAGAACTGTCCCGACCATCTGCTCAAAGACAACGGCGCTTGTGTGCGCTCGTGTCCGCCCAACAAGAAAGCCTTTAACGGCGAGTGCGTGCCCTGTGACGGGCCCTGTCCTAAGAACTGTCAGGGCGTGGATGTGGTCCACGCGGGAAACATCGACTCGTTTAAGGGGTGCACCATAATCGAGGGCTCGATCACCATTCTGGACACTTCGTTCAATGGGTTCCAAGAAGTCTACACAAACTTCACGTTCGGTCCCCATTACCCACGAATGCATCCAAACAAACTGGAAGTGTTCAATACGTTGCGAGAAGTGACCGGATTCGTCAGTATTCAGTCCTCGCACCAGGACTTCAAGAACCTGTCCTGCTTCAAGAACCTGGATATCATCGGCGGTCGCCAACTAACTGAATATTTCGCTGCTCTGTATATTGTGAAGACATCCCTACAGTCGCTGAGTCTGCGGTCACTAAAGAAGGTGCGATCGGGAAGTGTGGCTATTCTGGAGAACAAAGAGCTGTGTTTCGCGTCCAGTATTGACTGGAAGAAAGTGATGCGATCCTCAGCTCATAATATGCTGCTCCAGAGCAATGGCGATGAGGACAAGTGCCGTAAGTTATGATGAAAGAGGTATTTAACATACCATTGCCTAAAATACCTGTTTTTCGTGTGATGCACAGGCAAGAAAGGACTGGTTTGCCACTCGCAATGTGGCAGTGATGGTTGTTGGGGTCCCGGACCAGATGAATGCCTGTCATGCCGTTCGTATAGATTGGGAGAAACATGTATTCAAAGTTGTAATACGAGTTTAGGGTAAGACTTCTTCTCTCAGTTCACTCTCTCTCTCTCTCTCTCTCTCTCTCTCTCTCTCTCTGCTAATGCTTTACTGCTATTTTCCATTAGAGCTCTTCCATCAAAACTAATTATTACTTTAATATAAAACTAATGCTCTCTTAGTATGCGAATGCAATGACTGTTCACATCTGACAGATCTGTCACTATTAGTAATACTCATTGAATAACATAATTAAAAATTCTTCAGCATTTATGACGCGGGGAATCAAATCTGCAAACACTGTCACGAAGAGTGCTCAGGCGAGTGTTTTGGCCCCGGGGCTGGCAATTGCTCCCAATGCAGGCACGTGAGGGACGGCCCCTACTGTGTCCACGACTGTCCCGTCTCCAAGTTCGGGCAGAACGGAGAGTGCAAACCGTGTCACGAGAACTGCGTCCAGGGATGTACGGGTGCTCTCAACAAGTTAGGAGACGGCGGCTGCAAGTCGTGCGAGAAGGCCATCGTCAGTATGTACGACCCCAATGTTGTCGAGCAGTGTCTCAAAGCGGACGAGTCGTGTCCGGACGGCTTCTATCACGAGTACATCGGCCCGCAAGAGGAGGGCGCCCTCAAGTCATTGACCGGAAAGTCTGTTTGCCGTAAATGTCACCAACGATGCAAAAACTGTACCGCTTTTGGTATTCATGTGTCTGTTTGCGAGTGTTTGAGGTATAGCTCGGGAGAGCAGTGCGAAGACCAGTGCCCTCGCGATCACTACGCGGATGAAGCCAACCATAAGTGTGTGAAGTGTGCGGACGAGTGCCGCAAGTGTTACGGCCCGACGACCAGTAATTGCATCGCTTGTCGTAATTATCGAGTCTATAGTGGAGACGAGAAAAAACTATTCAATTGCACGGCTTCTTGTCCGTCGGAGAAGCCCTACAAAGTGTTTGAAGACAACAACGAAGACCCCTATTGTTCCGACAAAGACCCCAACATCGCTGCCTATGGCGTGAACACCGAGGAGGACCCCTGGACTGTAATCATAGGCGGAAGTGCCGGATGTGTTGTGCTGTTCGGCGTATTTCTTGCAATATTTAGCTATCAATGGCTACAAAGAGCGCGAACTAAAGAAAACACAATGAAGTTAACGATGAGAATGAGTGGTTTCGACGACAACGAGCCGTTGAAGCCGTCAAACGTGAAGCCAAATTTAGCCCAATTAAGGATCGTAAAGGAGGCCGAGCTTCGGAAGGGCGGCATTCATGGTGTCGGTGCCTTCGGTACGGTCTATAAGGGTGTTTGGGTTCCTGAGGGCGAAAACGTCAAAATACCGGTCGCTATCAAAGTGCTGAGAGAAGGCACTCAACCCAACACTAATAAGGAGTTCTTAGAGGAGGCCTACATTATGGCGAGTGTCGATCACCCGAATCTACTCAAACTGCTGGCCGTGTGCATGACCTCCGAGCTAATGCTTGTCACACAACTCATGCCATTGGGTTGTCTC